TGAGTCAACCCTGAGCCGGTGAGATTTGAACCGCTGAACTGCTGATCTAGCAGTAGCCTGCAGTGCTGCATTTAACCACTGCGCCACCTTGGCTCTTATGACCATTTGTTTAATGACTTTTCAAAGTTATGGCACTGAATAAAGTTACTTATAATCCACCCTAGCACTTTCGACCATTGCATTATCCCCATAGTCACAGGGTTGAGATTTGAATACATGTCAACTGGCATGTATTTGGAACTCTTGCAGTGTCCCAGGTCACCTGATTGCAACATTCCCAGGGGGTTCCCAACAAGCAAAAGCAATGGCAGAACTTGCTTTTGCTTAACAGCTGCGTGATTCTATTACTGACTAGCAGAAAAGTTCGTATAATCTCTAGTAGGTGGCAAATCTCAACCTATAGTAAAGAAACTCCTTCTAGTGCAGTGATTGCAAACCTTTTCGGCACTGGGGGCCGAAAAGGGAGCACTTCACTTGCATGCACTCTCATCTAGGCCACAAGAAGGAAGAGGAGCAGCTCGGGGGATGCGCTTGCAGGAAAATGAACTTCCGGTTACTGCCACACATGCGCATGTGGCAATCAGCTGGCCTTTGTGCATGCGGCAGTGCTAGAAACTGGAAGAGCTGGTCTTCTGTGATGATCAGCTAGCCGGCGCGCATGCTCACTCCAGAAAACAGAAGACCATCTCTTCTGGTTTCCGGCACTGCCGTATGCCAGCTGATCATCATGTGCATATAATCAGACAACTCTTGGTGTTTCTAAGCAGTCTCTCAAAATCAGTTCCCAGTTAGAAGAACTCAAGTGCTAGGACCTGATGCTGTATTACTTAGTCCAGAACAACAAAACAAAATTGGATGCCAAAACACCATAAAAAGAAAGTGTACTGTACCTTTAAAACAAACTGAGTAAATCACCTTGCCTGGCTGAAAAAAAAAGCGTAGGAATTATCCCACACAAACATGTAGGACCCCAGGCTGGAGAATAAAACTTCAGAACATTCTAGAATGGAGTTTTATCAGGCTGGTGGGAGAGTCAAGCCTTGCAGAGAGGCACTTTAAATAAATTAATACCAGAGCTTATAGCCACTTTTTATATATACCAATGGTTCATAAACCTTTCTAAAAATGGCCACTATTTTGTTGTGTCTGCTCTTGGGAGTATTCTTATTTTTTACAGTTAGCTCATTGCCTGAAACAATCTGTAAAAGCTTTGTACATTGATAGACCGGTTTCCCCTTAATCATGAATGGAAGAATCAAAAGATTAGTGAATTCTTTGTAAGAAGTCTAGTAGCACCTTTTCTGACTAACACATTTTATCCAAAGGCATAAGCTTTCATGGCTACTTGCGTTCAATAGGTGCAGCTCACACAGACCAATGCCTTTGAATAAAATTTGAGAGTTGTGAAAACTACCAGACTACTGATTTTTTTTCCTACCATAGACTAAGATGACCCTCTTCCTACAATGATTTCTATATGGGTCTGAAGATGCAAGCTCCCTCTTAAACTCAAAGTGACATGTCTCTCCAGTATGTAATGGAAATTAAAACATATCTTGGCTTCCAACATGGATATCTTAACTTTCACTGAGTTTTCAGGGGCAATTTGAAAACATGAATATTGTCTTTTGAGGGCTCTGATTGTAAATCACTAAATTATACTGTGCCACTGTTTAAGAAGCATTGGCATGTAACTGTTGAAAATAAGCAAGATTTAAGTGCTATATTTCAATAATTTTCTCCATTTTTTCCCAATAGGCGGAGTCTTCAAATCAAAGAAGATGACTTGGAAACAACTTTTATAATAGAACATATTCTTATCAAGTCTTGGAGATTTTCCAATATTTTTCAACACTATGTGTACTGGACAGGACTTCAGAGAGGCTTATTTTATAGATAATGTAGTCCTTCCTATTTAGCTTATTTCCCTAAGTTTTGGTTGTAAATTTGGAAGTACTATAAATTCTGGCTGACATAAAATGACATTGCAATCTAATTGATACCTATGCCTACGGAGAGTGTTTCAACAAAACCTGAATAATTTGGTGATTTGTTGCTTCATAATTGCTCCATGCACTTTCATATTTTAAAATAATGCACTGACTTTCTAAAAAAATCCTCTTTTTATGGTTAGTACTGGAACAAAGGAGCGTGATTTGGATCTATTTTCATGTGCTATGACAGTACAGTATATTTGAATAAAGGTTCTTTTTTTTTAAAAAAAAGTATGATTTTATGTTAATCATTTCATTAGATGGAGCAACCTATGGACATTCAGGTGAACTTTATTTTTAAATTATAATTCAGGCTTCATATGGCTCAGACAAAACATTTATCACGGTATTGAAAGAAAGAATATGGAAAATAGAAAGTTTATTACCAGGTAGGTAACAGAAAAAAATGGATTTAATTATGATAGCACCCTTCCTCTTGGAAATGAATATAATTCTTTCCACACAAACATTCTGGATGGGGCATTTGGAAGAAAGATTCCTTCTGCCAAACAGTTCTTGAGAAGTAACCCACAAAAATGTTCACCTATAGCACAGAAATTGAGCTTGGTATTTCTTTTCTCCCCTTTTCATTCACAGCTGTTGGAACAAAAGGTCTAGATATATTGTTTCCATTTTTATTATCATTTGCAATGTTTAACCCTTTGAAAAACAAATTAGAGATTTTAAACTGTTTGAACCTGCTTAAATATTCAAAGGATCCACATATCTGTCAAAGTAAATGTTGACTCCTGACTAATCTAGTTCTTCACTTTTACGGGATCAGTGTTTGAAGTACACCTTCAAATCAAAATTTAAATAATCCAGTGGTCAAATACTCCTCCAAAACCGTAGAGAGCAGGTGGGATCAAAAAATAACATTTAGTGTAAATGCACAGTTCTGGAAAATGCAAGCTGGTGATTCTAGTTATATGCAGGCAACATTTCCTGCTTTATAATTTCTCACCTTAACTTAAACCAAGTTATCTGAAATTCATGAGGGTGTACTGACTTTCTATTTTGGAAATCAAAAGATCTTTATTCATGGCCATTTTTGTACAGTACATCAAGAAGAAAATGTTGGCCTGTGAAGATAGTCCCCAGACCTAATGCCCCAAATGCTGTCAGGAGAGGTGCTAAATTACAGGGCCAAAGATTGTACAGTTGTGAACAGTCACAAGCCTTAGTAGCCAACAGCTTCACTTCCCTGGGCAGCTGGAGACAGACGGTTTTAGGAATTAAGAGTCTGAATTAAAAATTAGCTTCATTCCTGCCGACTCCACGGACGTGTCTGCGATAGCTGACTAGGCAAAAGTTTGCCAAATATTCCAGGCTATTTCTTGCCTAGCTCAGCTGGTGCTGTGAGATTTAATGGCAGAGGTCTTCAAACTTGGCAACTTTCAGACTTGTGGACTTCAGCTCCAGAGCTGGCTGGAGAATCCTGGGAGTTGAAGTCCACAAGTCTGAAAGTTGCTCTGCTGTCTGGAGAATCCTGGGAGTTGAAGTCCTCAAGTCTGAAAGTTGCCCAGTTTGAAGACCTCTGCTGTTCAGGGTCATTGCACTCTCCAACTGAGCTTGGCAAGGTAGACTGGGGAGTTACCAGCGCCGCCTTGTCTAGACTGGAATCCTTGTGGCGGGGGTTTGCATAAGACGCCTTGGCTCCGGAGGCAAAACGGTTCAGGCGCTACCCACATTCAGGCGCTGGAATTCAATCAAGAGCAGAGTGGTACGGGCAAGCCGTGCTGCTGCGCGCGCACCCTCCGGAGCTCCTCCCAGAGAAGGGGCGGGACGCGCTTCTGCGCGTTCCGCCACGGACCTTTTGTCTCTCGCCAGCCGCCGTTCCCCTTTCCCAGCGCCGAGAGCGCGCCGCGCCCCCGCCATCTTGTTTCCCCGCGGCCGCCGGAGCTGAGCGATTCCTGCTGGCGATGGGTGAGGCGAAGGAGGCGGGAGTCTGCGCGGCGGGCTACTTAGGGCTCCTGCAGCGCCTCCGTTCCGGGGGAGGCGGGGACCCTGGCGTTGCTGCTGCTGGGCAGCTGCGGCCTCCTCCGGCACGAGGATGGGCATTTGGGCCCCGTTCCCATCTCGTCCACCCGGCTCCCCTCCTCACGCCAGGCACGAGGGTCGCGCCGGAACAGGCCTGCGGGCCTTTCCCGATAAGCCTTGAAGGCGGGAAATCGCGGGGCTCGACGGGAGGGCCTTTCCCTGGGCCTCCAGAATTGTTTCACGGGGTTCCTAGCGAGGCCTCGTTCTGCACAAGCGCTTCTGCGCTCCGAGCCTCCTCCGCTCACCTGGGAGCCTTTACAGGTAGTCCTCGACTTACGACCACAATGGAGCCCCCAAAAGTCCCCCCCCCAATTTTTTTTATTTTCAGATAAGTATCCACAAGTCTACCCACTGGCATAAAAAGTCTGAATTTGGAAAATGGAGCCCAAAATTTTTGTTGTGGGGCATTAGGTGAGTTTTGTCCCGCTTTACGACCTACCTTGTCACTGTTATTAAGCGAATTGCCGCAGTTGGTAAGTGAGTAACCTGGTCGTTAAGTGAACCTGGCTTCCCTCACTAACTTTTGCTTGTCAGAAAGCTATGAAAAGAGATCCACGTGACGTTGAGGCGCTGGCAAAGGTCATCAATATGTACCAGTAGCCAAGACTCTGAATTTTGATCCACATGGTCACGGGGATGCTACAAAAGGTCGTAATGGTGAAAAACAGTCCTAAGTCGCTTTTCTTAATGCTGTTGTCACTTTGGACGGTCTCTAAATGAACTGTTGTAAGTCAAGGACTACCTATACAAATGGCTCCATTACCCAAGGATGTGCTCCAGCCACCTTCTCGGGAGTTACTACTCCAGGTTTAAGGCCTCCTGCTCTATCCCGTGGTGCTTTTAGGGACATCTTCCCTGGCAGTTCATTCCCTTCCTCTATTTAACTGTGGACACTCTAAGCCAGGTGTCCCCAAACTTGGCCCCTTTAAGACTTGTTGGACTTCAACTCCCAGAATTCTCCAGCCAGAATTCTGGGAGTTGAAGTCCACAAGTCTTAAAATGGCCAACTTTGAAGACCTCTGCTCTAAAGCCTGTGTTTTCCAACTCAGTCATGTTTAAGAGATGTGAACTTCAACTCCCAGAATTCTCCAGCCAATTCATGCGTGAGGCATTCTGGGACTTGAAGTACACACTTCAAGTTTGAAAAAAACTGCTGCTGTATTGTGTGGATTCTTCTATACTCTTGCGGATGTGTTCCTGACTTCGTGAAATGGAGATAAACGTGTATGTGTGTATGTATGTATGTGTGTATGTGTATGTATATGTGTATATATATATAAATAAAACAGGCTACTTGAGAGAAAGTGGCTCCAGGAAATTTAGAAACCAGTTTTGAATGTTTGAATGTAGCAATGCTATTTCTAGACCCATGTGCAAATATTCCCGAAGTATTCAAAAATTGGAACAGGATTTCTCAAAATAGATGTACAAATACATTAGGGTATGTATATATCTGCGTGAAGCAACTCTAGGATTGTTATAAATAGAACTCATTGCAGCTTCCCTCAATTTGGTACCCCTTAGCACATTATTCGACAATAATTCCCATTTTTCCTAGTCAGCCATTGAAGCAGGAGACCACCAGGTTAAGAAATGGCAAATGGATACATGAAGCATGCTACTGTGATATAATGAATAAAAGTGAAATGAGCTTCAGGAAATCTATAGTTTTAACTTTGAGCCTGATGTATCTGCAGCTTAGGAAGAATTTTATCATGTTCCAGTCATCAACCTTGTACAGATTGCTAAGATGTTTGTGTTATATGTAGATTTGATATTTGCACCAACTCCTCATGAGATGCTTTTCTTGAAATGGTAAACCTATACAGAGCTTTGTGGATATTCTAGGAATTGCTATAACAATGCAGGCCTAACATTTTCATTTCCAGTTCATAGAATCAAAGAAATCATTTGAGGAGCAGGGCTGCCCCTCTGATTGCCAGGGGTTATGGCAGGGGGAAGAAGGGGACCTAACCGGACATCCTACTGCCGCAATCCTCTGTGTGAAACTGGAGCTCCTGGTGGTGCCAGCCACTCCACAACTTCTTCAGTCACTAGTGTGCGTTCACGTACCAGGTACAGCTGTGCTACAGAGAGTTCTATGAAATCCAGAGCCACATGAACCAGCCAAAGTAGGCCCAGTAAGAAATCCCATTTAAACATTTCGCTTTATTGGGGAATAAGAATATGGAGCAAGACCTTGACTATGTAGATGTGAGCTTACAATGATTGTAAATCCTGCCTAATTTACATAATACTTGACTAAGAATTATTATACTCTCGATACTATAGTTTAAGAGAAGTCTTCCCAAGGTGATTTGCAATAAAACATTTCCCACTTTAAGGCTAGAAGAGGGTGGGGTGGGATGGGGGGCAAAGTTCTTTTTGAGATAAATGCACAACCACAACAGAAAGTGTTTTTCTCCAGTATTCACATCCTGATCACTGGTGATGAGCCAAGGAAGATTAGTGCAATGATTCACTGTTTTCATGGTAGCTGGTTTTCAATTCTTCAGGCCTTTAAAATAACCACACTCTAATTTGATTTGGAAATGATGTTGATGCTAAATATTGCTCTGGTGGTAGCTTCTACACCATCTTAAAATATATCTGTGCTTAGAGAGCTATGGCTGTTCAGTTATGGCTAGTTCTCTTGGTTTTAATTGTTCTGTGTAAACTGCCTTGAGTTGTATAGCAGGCACTATATAAATGATGTAAGGTGAATGCTTTATATTTATTGTTGCTTTTATTAGCAAGTGGTAAAGAGAGGATGATAGTTCTAAACAGTCTTTAGATGGTATTGTAATGGTATGAACACAGAAACAGATTGCGCATGGAAATGCTAATAAAGTAGGAGAAAGAGCAGTGGGCAAAATAGATTTGTAGTCCTCGACTTACAATAGTTCATTTAGTGACCATTCAAAGTTACAGTGACACTGAAAAAGTGGCTGAAGACATTTTTGTAAAATCATTGCAGCATCCCCATGGTCATATGATCAGAATCTAGCCACTTGGCAACTAGCTCATATGTATGACGGTTGCTGTGTCCCAGGTCATATGATTCTCTTGCCACCTTCCGACAAGGTCAATGAGGAAGCCTGGTTCACTTAACCATGTTATTAACTTCATTGCGGTGATTCACTTAACAACTGGCAAGAAAGGTCATAAAATGGGGCAAAACTCACTTAACACATGTCTCACTTAGCAACCGAAATTTTGGGCTCAATTGTGGTCATAAGTCAAAGACCACCTGTAAAGCCAAATTACATTTCTGGAACTTGAATAAGTAAAATAGATACCAGAAAATTACCAAAGTTTCTGAATGCAGGTAAATCTCTCTAATCACTTGCTCAAACAATTACAGATGCTTGCTCAGAAATATTTCAAAACGGGACATGCTTAGGTTACTAGGAGGTAACAACCACAAAGTCTGACTTGTGCAAACCTCCACTTTATTAACTGTAGTCTCACTGTAAGCAGAAAATTTAATCCATGTTATCAATAAGAATTCTATTTGATATTATTTGCCAGCATATAATTAGCATTTGTATCGTCAAGGTAAAGATTGTTACTCCACCCTGTTCAAATAAACTTAGCTTAAATTGATCATGTGATGTTGACTTATCAATTGGGCCATTGGAATTATCCCCTTCAGAATAAGGCACATGAATGTCTACGAATCTCTTTTTTGAGTTAACCTATTCTGTTTTCCTCTTGCAGGAGCGGTTCAGGGACAGGTCTTTCCAGCCCTCCTTTGGCAACCCAAACAGTGGTTCCCCTCCAGCATTGCAAGATCCCAGAACTGCCCATTGAGAGGAGCATCTTGTTTGAACTCCAACTCTTCTTCTGTCATCTTATTGCTCTCTTTGTCCACTACATAAACATCTACAAAACAGTGTGGTGGTACCCACCATCTCACCCTCCCTCCCATACTTCATTGGTGGGTATTTTATATCTGATTGCCTGTTTGCAAGATCTTAAAGTCACAATTATAAAACTAGAAAAAATACTACTGCCTTAAGATTGTGAGAGAGGAAGTCCAAAGCCATCAGGCTGGAGAAAATGGTTGCCCAGATTTCTTCTTAAAATAGTTCAAATACTAAACTTATGTGTATAGAAATGTAATTTATAACAGGGTCTATTGTGAGTCTTGGGAAATGTATAAAGGCTGCAAGTGGAAGCTATATTTTTCTTAAATCTAGTCTCTAAGTTAATATTAACCTTCTATGCCAGTGTTTCTCAACCTTGATCACACATCATAAGATATGTGGACTTCGATCCCAGAATTCTTCAGCCACCTAAACCCTGTTCTATATTGTTTCAGCTTAATCATTCTAAAAACTCTTAATGTTAATTTGAAGGGTCTTATAAAAACGCAATAGCTGAAGATAAGCCTGGGGCTGCACCCATTGGAACATGCATGCTCAAGCCCAGCAACTACATTGCAGCATAAACTCTGATGCACTTTATAAGATATGTCAACTATTATAATGAGAGAAATTTGTATACCTATGGTCTGAAGACAGAGGGCAGTGGCAATGCCTTCCTGATACCCATTTACAAATATTACATAGTTGTTCCCACATTTGTGAGCTCAATTATATAAGCAGTATGATAGGAAATCTTTGCTGTCTGTGTAATCTAGTGTTTCCCAACCTTCGCAGCTTTAAGAGGGGTGAATTTCAAGTCCCGGAATTACCCAGGCAATCATCCTGGTTGAGGATTTCTGGGAGTTGTAGTCTCCATCCTTCTTAAAGTTGCCAATGTTGAGAAACACTATTCTAATCTTTGGAAAATAATTTCAAACTATTTATGAATTATACTCAGGTTTTTATTTGGTTGCTCAGAAACATTTATCTTGAAGTCAGTAACCAGGTATCTAAGATAGTCCCCTATGGAATTTGAGATATCCTTAATTTCAGGATGAGGTTCTTTTAGTCTTGCAAAATCCTAACCAGTGAGGAATATAGTTGTTAATTAAGAATGGTACATTTAAATATGTTTGGCTAGCTCAAAGCCAGATATTTCACATGACACCCCTATGTCTCATGCAAGTGTTAGCAGACACAGTAGAGGGGAAGAGTTTACCTCTGACTCTTTTTTTAAATATATGTTTTATTGATACATTTTTCTTTTATAAACAAAAGATTCCATGTCTATCTGAACAGCGTGTTGTTTGGACACCATTAATTTTAAATAAGTATACAACAATAACCATAATCATACTAGTAATCTTAATAAACATATCAATATTAATCACAAAATAATAATACAGTTTATCCATTTTACAAAATTTTCAGTACACATTTTTGTTATCTTTTTTTAATTCTGTTTATTTTTTAACCTCTGTTCCTGTTAGTTAACCATTGGTAAAATAAATTCTATGTTAAAAAGTATTGTTTTTTTTTCTTTTATCTTAAGTGTCAGTCTATCCATATCAGCACATTCTAATATTTTTATTACACTGTCATCTGTTGGGACCTCATCATTTTTCCATTGTTGTGCAAACACTATTCTTGCTGCCGTTACTACATGAAAAATTAAGTATGTGTTCCCTTTACTATACTGTTCTGAATCTGAATCTTATGCAGGATGTTAACAGGGTGAAACAATGTCTTAAACTGCAGGTAAACCTGAATGGCTGCTTGTAAAGTGATTGTGATTGTCACACTATGGGTAATATATATGAATATTTTAGGCAGCAGCTTTAAATTGAAATAAGTAGCCTTCTATAGATTTCCTTGTCTGCCTTGTGAATTTTTCCTGGTATGATGTTTTATGTTGATCTTATTTTTCCTTCACTAGTTGATAACCTGCCCATGTATTTATAGGAGGAAAATGTCCGGACCAAACGTAACTTCTAATGTTAAATTTTCCCCCTTACCAGAGGGAGCCTCCTTGTGGAGTACTATGAAGCCGTTACCATGGCAACTCCACTGCGCTGTACAGTAGAAGCCATTTTAAGGCACAACAGGCTGTATCTTAACAGAACACACACCCTGAGGAGTGTTAGGGGTGTCTTACCCTCACAGTATTTTTTTCCAGAGAGTAAGTCATCTGGGTACCATGTTTGGTTGAAATTGCTCGAGGTGTTCCAGAGTTATGCTAGAACATACATACACATACAGAGCCATTTATTTATATATTGAGGGAGGGAGGGAGAGAGAGAGGGAGAGAGAGAACTGAGTCAAAACTGATTGAAAAAATATCTTTGGGCTTGGCTGCAGGTTTTGTGCTATGTTGGATTGGAAGTGTGTAACTGATGCAGATTTACAAGTGATGTTGATAGGTTGATAATGTAGTTTCACCATAATGTAGTGTCCAGAATGTTTGGCTAATGTTGCCAAAGTTTGCCAGGCCATCCCACCCATGAATCCAGTATGCAAAAATTATATCTCAGATAAAGAAGACGTCTTTGGGTGGAGTAAAAGCCAAAGTGCTAGTTCAGTGAAAAGGATGTTGTTGGCATTGTGTGGGGCCAGGAGTGACCATTGCAATACTGTATACTGTATTTTACAGAGTATAAGACGCTCCCCCCCCCAAAAAAAAACAGTGAAAATTTGGGTGCGTCTTATACACTGAATGTAGCCCTGCCCACCTGCCGGCCCTCACTCTTCGGCCTCTGAATGCTCCACCTATTCCAGGCTGCAGGGATTGCCAAAGCACATTGCTGCTGATCGCTGCCTCTGCGTGTTTTATTTTCTGCCTCCGAGTGTTGCATTTTCGGCTTCCACGTGTCACATTTTTGGGAGGTTCCGAGCAGCAGGGAGTGATGGTGGCAATCCCCGCCACCTGGAACCACCCAAAAACGAAACACGCAGAGGCCAAAATCAGGGTGTGCAGAGGCCAAAAATGTGATGCGCGGAGGCGGCTATTGGAGGCTATGTGCTCTGATGATCCCTGCAGCCTGGAACCGATCTGAAACGGAGCATTTGGAGACTGAAAACGTGAGGCACAGAGGCCAAAAACACGAGGCACGAAGGCAGTGATAGGCTGTGGTGATCCCCGCAGCCTGGAACAGCTAATGGGGGTATTTCGGGATCCACCTGCCAATAAGCTGCTCGTGCTGAATCAGGTGCAATAATGTGCTGAACCTAGCCAAGTTGTTTGCTATTTGCTGCAAGGACACTAGTCAGATCAATATCAATGGATGCTGTAGGCAGAGGCAGATTTTTTTTTCTTGTTTTCCTCTCCAAAAACTTAGGTGCGTCTTGTACTCTGGAGCATCTTATACTCTGAAAAAATATAGTAACTAATTTGAAGATAGTTCTTCAGCAGTAATAACTATAGATAAATCCAAAGCTCAGTGACTGGAGAGAGAGAGAGAAGTGTAATTTATATTTATTTGATTTGTAGAGCTATTCTGGGTAGTGCAGAAAGATTAAAGCATCATAACAAAAACTCATGCCTTGGTTAAAACAAGAATCCCCCAAGCAAAAAGCTGTACTTTCATCCCATCTTGCCTAACCTCCTGACCCAGATGCCTGGGGGAACAGTAAGGTCTTCAATTTGCTGTGATGTTGCTAGGAATGGTATTGCAGATGGCTTGTAGCCCATTCCCTGAATGAAATTAGTAAAAATAAAATTGGTGCACATCAAAGGTTCTTTCAAAGAGGTGGTTTTTCATATTTTAATGTGACAGTAAAGGGAAATTCCAAAACACACAGGGACAAAATTAGTTGTGGACTCCAGTGCATAAGGCTGTTATCATAGCTTATTGTTTCCTGAGGAAATCTATTACATCCTGTTTATAGTTGGGCCACTGTTTTGAAAAAGGAGTCCATGTAGGACATTACAGTATATGACAGTCATTTCAAAGACTTTATCTGAATGCAGCTCAGAGAAGCAGATACAATTAGTCCTCGACTTACAACCATTTATTTAGCAGACTTTCAAAATTACAACACTGGAAAAAGTGGTCATCTTGCCTTCAGCTTCACAGCATCCCCACAGTCACATGATCAAAATTTGGGGGCTTGACAACCAGCATCTATTTATGACTGCTGTAGAGTCATGTGATTGCCATTTGCGACCTTCTCGCCCAGCTTCTGACAAATGAAGTTTGGGGGGGGAGCCAGATTCATTTAATGACCACGTGATTCTCTTACACTAAATAACCATGGCAAAAAAAGCTTGTAAAATCGGGCATAATTCACTTTATAACCACCTGTTAGCAGTAGAGATTCTTGTCCCAATTATGGTCATAAATCAAGGATTACCTGTATACACATAGCTTTATTTTCCTATTTTTCCTAAGACTCAGGGAACTCTTATTGCTTTTCGGCATTTGTTAGATTGCTGTTCCTAGGCTAACCATAGTCTTGTCTTTCCTCCTTGCAGAATTTTCATCTCATTGATTTCAATGTCCTGGCAGTGACCACTATTGTTCTGGCAAGAAGATTGATAATTGCTATTGTGAAGGAAGTGAAAGAGGTAAAGTTGTGCCTCTTGGGTCAGAGATGCAGGAAATGACTGCTTCCAATTATCCTTTGGCTGCTTCTTATGTCAACAGCAACTCTGTCCTTAGTAGCTTTCGCTACCCCCTGTTTCCCTGAAAATAAGCCCTCGTCAGATAATCAGCCCAATCGGGCTTTTGAGCACATGCGCTAAAATAAGTCCTCCCCTGAAAATAAGTCCTCCGTGAAAGTATTGCAACACAGCAGCAGCCATGAGGTGACCACCCGCATCGCCTCTTGCACCTCAAAAATAATAAGACCTCCCCAAAAATAAGGCCAAGCACTTATTTCAGGAGTCAAAAGAAAATAAGACCCTGTTTTATTTTCGGGGAAATAAGGTAGTTCTAGGAGCTTTGCACAAAATGCCTAGCAGCGGGAAGGAAGTGTTGCCTCCATCCCATAAACAGTCAAGCACATCTGAAAAATAAGTTCAGAAAAGGAAGGTTTGTACTCTTGTGATCCTGCTCCCTTGTAAACTGCTGTTGTTGGAGAAGGGAACAGCAATCCTTGCTTAATGGCAAATCACTTAGGAACCATTCAAAGTTACAACAGACCCTCCAAAAAGATACTTAAACCCAGTTCCAGAATTTCTGATCGCCATACACAGAACCTACGGTCACACAATCACATTTTGGATTCTTGGTAACTGGCTCACATTTACAGCGGTTTGCAGCGTCTCATCACATGACTGTAATTTTCAGCATTTTTTGCCAGTTTCTGGCGTTTACTTCCGATTCCTGGCCAAAGAAAAATGCTTATTGGATAAAATGGATTTATTTAATGATCAGGGTATTCACTTAACAACCACTACAAAAATGTTATAAATTTGGATGCAATCACATGATGATCTGCTTAATGACTGCCATGAGTTACGATCATAATTCCAGGTTCAGTTACAGTGGTAAATTGAGGACTAACTAGATATTCAATGGATGGTCTTCCTTGAGAATATTTTTGGGCACAGCTGGCTAGTGGTGAAACTAGATTTAGCGCCTGAAGAACATCAGAGTTGCGCTGCCAGAAGTCACTTTCAGTGATGCAACCTTATGCACAAAAGATCTTGAATTAAGCATAGGAAAAGGCAAAATAGGTCCATTTATGCCCTTTGCCACCCACCCCAATCAAGAAAAATGGACCCAGCTCCAGTCTGGAGGCTGCCTCAGAGGCATACATAACCCATCTAAATTATTTCCATGGATGATGGGGTTCCAAACCCCCTCACCCCATCCAGGTATTTGCCTTATATATTGCAATCCTAAGCATGTTTATTAAAATCTAAGTCCTTATAAATTGAGTGGGCATAGACTTAGGAATTACAGTCCCTCAAAAATCAAATCGGCACCTAGAATTCTGGAGCATGGTCTATTTTTCTCCTAACCAGAAGTAGCTGTATCCTTGTTTTGTTTCTGTTGTTCCTTTAGGCCTCTCATACGGGAAAGGTCTCTCTGCCACGCTCCATCTTCCTGGTCACTATGCGCTTTGCTGTCCTAACTGGTGCAGGCTGGAGCCTGTGCCAATCTATTATCCACCTCTTCAGATCATATTCACTCCTCAACCTCTTGTTCCTATGTTATCCGTAAGTACCAAAAAAGAGGGTTTGATTGTTCCTCCTTCCGTGTGAATTGAGTTGGGTTGAGAGAGAGAATGATTAGCTCAAACTCACCCAGCTGGTCCTGGAGAGAATTCTACTGGAGAACAATATAGAATAGTACAAAAGCCCCCAGATTCTGTACCAATTCTCCTTGGTGTAGTGCAACCCAGTCCAAAACCAAAGACTGGAATGCCCTGAATCCAGGAAGCATTAAGACTCAACAGCCACAAGGTTTTGCCATTGTTGAGTTGCAGCCTGTTTTCCCCATCCACCTTTTACACTCCATGGCCACCCTGGAGCATAGATACAATAGCAATAGCACTTAGATCTATATATCGCTTTACAGTGCTTTTACCGCCCTCTAAGCAGTTTACAATGTTGGCATATTACCCCCCAAAATCTGGGTTCTCATTTTACCAACCTTGGAAGGATGGAAGGCTGAGTCAACCTGGAGCCACTCAGGATCGAACTCCTGGAGCGAGTAGTGAGTTAGCCTGCAGTACTGCATTCTAACCACTGTGCTACCACGGCTCTTACAAAGCTGTATATCACCAGCATACTAATATCAATAGCACTTAGACTTACATACTGCCTCACAGTGCTTTACAGACCCCTGTAAGCGATTTACAGAGTCAGCCTCTTGCTCCCAACAATCTGGATCTTCATTTTACTGACCTCGGAAGAATGGAAGGCTGAGTCAACCTTGAGCCGGCGAGAATCAAACTGCTGGCAGTCAGCAGAATTGGCCTACAATACTGCATTCTAACCACTGCGCCACTGTGGTTGTTCACCCAGTGCCATCATTACACATTACATACCTAATGTTCCCTTCTTCTATTTTCCTCACGACTACAATCCCGTGAGGTGGATTGGACCCATGGAGTGTGTCACCCAGCTGGTTTTCATGCCTCAGAGAGAGCTAGAACTCAGGATCTCCTGCTTTCTGGATCAGCATCCTAACTGCTATGGCAAAGTGGAGGTATGGCGACTAGAATGCTATGCCTAGTGGAGCATTAGGCATAACATTCTCGTCACTTAACCTCCAGTGTGGTATGCTCACAGCATTACATTATTGGCTGTCTATCCAGTTTACATTCTAAAGAGCTTTAAAATAGGAATCTCCTTTTTCATAGCAGCTGCAAGTCTGTTATCCAAAATCTGACGTTTAGAATTTTATTTGCTGCTTTAATGCCCACATGCACCATTTTTTGCATTCTTGGAACTCCTTATAACCCCTGAAGGAATGTGAGGGAATGATCAGTAAGGCATTGTCAGAATATTTCACTGTCCCACTGATTATTTGTAATTTTAGGGCATTGATGAACAACCTCAGAGGGGCCCTTCATCTTTCATCCTTCATAGAACTATTCATTTATTCATAGCTATTTCAGGTGCTTTAATCCATTTTGAATCAGTAAGATAGCGATACCTTCTTCCTTGCCCACTAAGTTTGCTATTTTCAGTGAGGAAGTTGCCAAAAAAAGAAAAAAATATAAAAATCTTTATTGTCACTTTTTTGTGAACACACTGGCACACATTAAAAAATAAAATTCTTATTACACGATATAATCCAATTGTAATGTTTCTCTTTGTTCATCCTTGTTCAAATATTGTTGATAGTCTTGTATTCCCCAAAATATATTGAGGCAGAACCTAGTTTTAACAAAATTTGTTCTTTTACAGGTGGCCCCGCTTAACAATGACTTGTTTAGCAACTATTCAAGCTTGTGATGGCATTGAACAAGTGGTTCTTACTAGTTCTCAGTGCTCAGCTTGCTGTTATGATGCTGCAGCCTCCAGAAGTCACATAATCACTATTTCTGACCTTTGCTTACTTCTTACAAGCAAATTCAGTGGGGAAGCAGACAGAAAGTCGCAAATGGCGACAAACATCCTTGCTTAATGATTGCTCTGGATTCCCTTAAGGACAGCAACCAGGAAGTACTGGACCTGCCATTGCTAAGCTGTCCCGTGATATCACAGTTTATGACTGCATTGCTTAGCGACAGAAATTCCAGTCCCAGATGCTGTCATTAACTGAGGACCACCTGTATTAAAGAATGAAGCATTTCTAGTCCTCCAAATGATTTTGGGTTTCTATTACTTTAATATACAGTTGTTTTGGTCAGTATCCAGTGATGACATAATTGTCCTATTCTGGATATTTGATGACTGTATTTTAATAAGTTATTCTATCTATGCCAGAATAAGCATTGTGTTATGTTACTTGTAATTTCTTTAAATTATTTTAAACAAATCTCTGACATTAAGCGGGCTACATCCCAGTCTCTCGCTTGACTTGTTTTACTGGCTTGTTAGTAGAGGAGCAGATTCATGTTAAGTTTCCATGAGAACTCTGAAATGAATACCAGTTAGATTATAAGCTGCTAAGTGTTTGGAAAGTAACTTGGATGATGACTGTAACTTCATAAAAGTTACTTCAGAATTGTTCTCCTCTTCCAAGGTTTGGCATGTACATCCCCTTCCTGCAACTAAACTGCGACTTCCGTAAGAGCGGCTTCTTCTCTCCTGTGGCCAGCATTGGCCCTCGCGACACAGGGGACGTCAGCTTGCGGGGAAAGGACTACCTCTCTGTCCTCAAGGAAACTTGGAAGCAGCACACTCGGCAGCTCTACAGCATGGAGACTATGCCCACCCATGCCTGCTGTCTCTCCCCAGATCTGATCCGCAATGAAGTGGAGTATCTGAAAGTGGATTTCAACTGGCGCATGAAGGAGGTGCTGCTAAGCTCCATGCTCAGTGCCTATTATGTGGCCTTTGTACCAGTGTGGTTCGTGAAGGTAGGCGCTTGTGGACTGGGGCTCCTGCAGGACAATTCAGTGGTGGACGGGGGAGGGCAGACCTCTCAGTCAGGGTTGGACCCTTTTAGAAATGATCCAATTTTGATGTATTTATATAACTAATTCAGGGGTCAGCAACCATAAACACTCAAAGAACCACAAAGGTCCTAACCAGAAGCCCCCCTCCCCCACCGGTTCAATTCTGGAGCCGACCGGAAGTTCAGTTCCCCCACCATAGAGTCTCCTCCTAGCACGGCGTCCTTTTTCCTCTACCTGTCCTAACCGAAAGCCCTATCAATTGTGGAGCCGACCAGCAATAGGGGGCCGCAGCAGAGGGATGAAAGAGCCACATGTGGTTCCAGAGCTGCAGGTTACTGACCCCTGCTCTAACCTAACCTCATGCATTCTGCCCCAAAAATGCTCTGTCCTTTTCTTCTGGAAGTTACTCATCTCTTCTGTGTAATTCAGAATCAGGAGATTTTATCCTCTTCTGTTTTTCTTCATCACCATAAATTTAGGGATCTCAGATATGGTTTGAGACCATGGCGTTATGACCCAGTCATTGAAAGGATATCAGGTTTGATGTCTTGCTCAAACCCACCATTATTGAAAGAGTTCAACACTAGTTTGTTTTGTGCCTTGGGCAAGGTTGTACAAATTCATTTATTGTTTTTAGAGCAGGGATATACAATTTTGGAAACTTTAGGGCTTGTGGGCTTCAACCATTGGAAGTCCATAGTCATAAAGGTGCCATAGTTGGACAACCTTTTTTTAAAAAATTTATTAGTTTTATTACAAAAAAAACACAAAAAGAAAAGCATCATCTTTCATTACATCTTTTAGAAAGCGTATCCATTGGTCACAGGTACATTTCGTGCGTTCTGTCCAAAATCACATATATTCCATTCAGTTTAAATTGTATATGTTAAAAATTTATATATTTTACTATCACCATACCACAATTTTCATTTAGTTAAGATTTCAAAAACACAGCCACCTGCTGGCATATCTTTATATCTTTATAACATATTCTTAAGAAAAAAAATAAAGTTAATTAGTAGGACAGCTAATATTTCCTCTCTCTAACATATCTTTGTTATTATTATAGTTAACTAAGGGTTATTTACATTTTTCTCTCTTTCTCTCCAC